AAAATATAAAAAATAAAAAACAATTAATAAAAAATAAATAAATTAAAAAAATTAAAAAATAAAAAATAATACAAATTAAAAAAATAAATTAACAAAGAAAAATAAAACACTTAAAACCTAGCCTCAGAGCAATGCCTGAGCCTAAGACCTAGTAGAATATTGTATATTGCTGTTAATTAAGAGATTAAGTTTAAAATACAGATTTCAATTTAAGATTTGAAATACAAATAGAATAAACAAAAAATCAATATAAAATTTGTTAGAAGAATCAAAAAGAATATTTGTTATTATTAAAAAAAATCTTATAAGATATTGGATTTATAACTAATAATACAGATATAAATATGTTATATATAAGCTTTAATAACTATAGTATTAGGTTCAAGGTTTGTAATAGTTGAGAAAATAACTTTAAATGAGTTATTATAATTAAAAAAAAATAATAAGATTTTGATAACAGAAGTTAAGAAATAATGTTTTTAATTTTTTAAATTAGTTTGAAGTTATATCTATAAAAATACAGAACCAGAAGTTGGTAAAGAAATAGATATTATAGATCTTAAAAAAAATTAATAAAAATAAGAAGATAAATAAAGTATAATATGTTTTATAAAGACATTAGATAACAGAAAATTGATAAGATACTTTAAAATAATAAATTTTATTTTTTTATGATATTTAGTTAAATAAACAACAAATTGAATAAATTTAATTTGTTATAAATTATTTTTTTTTTATATATAATACCAAAATAATTACCATATTTGACTAAAAAATAATTTAATTAATGATCTGTCAGTCATCATAGTGTAATATAATATAGATTATTATATAATTTACTATAGAGTACAATGCAGTGTGATTTATCTAAAACTTTTTTGATACTAAGTTAACAGTCCAAGTCAATTAATTGAAAGTTGTAGAGCTTACTGAGACTATATAATAGTAGTTAGATCATTCAAATTGGTTTAGTAAATGCTGGGATATTATCAAAAAACATTTAGCTAACTATGTAAAATTCTATATAAAATTCTATATAAACAATAATCTGTTTGTATAAAATTTTATATAGTCAGTTAAGCATTTTTTGACAATATCTTAACATCTACTAAACCTATTTGGATAATTTAATTGCTATTAGATATGCCTTAGTGAGTTTTACAACTTTTAATTAATTGACTTGAACTGTTAATTTAGTACCAAAAAAAGTTTTAGATAGATGCATATTGCATTTACTCTATAGTAAATTACATAGTAATCTGCATCACATTATACTATAATCTTTGTCCAAATGACTGACAGATCATCAATTAAATCATATTGATTTAGTTCTTGACTAATAAATATAATTATAATTACTTTAAAAATGAAAATATATCTGATAATAAGATTCTTGAACTTGAAAGTGCTTAAATAATATAGAATATAACAAATAAGAAGATGTGACAAATAAGAGAATGTAATGAATAAAAAATATAATAAATAAGAAAATCAGATAATAGTAGATGTAATAACTAAAAGAGTATTACAGTAATATGTAGTATTTTGTAGATCTAACACATCTGTAATCTGTAACAGATTAAACTACTGATTTTAATTACCATCTTAATCATAATGAAAAGCTATTATATTTATCATATTCTACTGCAAATAAGCATTTTACTCTCTACTTTATTTTTTTAAATATCAGATTAGTAAAAATATCTTGGCTAAAGATTTCATTGTGATGTCCATTAATTTGACATTTAAAAAAATAAGATAGAGGGTGTAGTGCTTATTTACAGCAGAATATAGTAGTAATTTATTATTATGAAATTAAAGTTGAATATATAAAAATGATTTAAGTTATTTAATTTTTTGTAATTTTATAAATTAAATGCTTCTTTTATCTAACATAAATAAAATTTAAATAATTTATTTACTTCTAATAAGACTTACTGTAAAAGAGATACAAATTTTAATAAAGTGCAGATTATACTTTTTTTTTATAAAATAAAATTAAAAAAATAGATAAAAACAATATTTCTAGCATTATTTTATTTTTAGTTATTAATTCAAACTGCTAAAATATTAGACCAACATTATGTATAGTGTTAGATAAATTTGAAGATTAGTGTAATGTAACAAAAATAAAATCTTACGAATATTTGTTTTTATGATTTTAATTGTAACTGTTCAATCAAAGTGCTGCAAAAATATGAGTTTACAAATAAATGACATGGAAGAAAGAAGAATTCAGCTCTTTGGGTTATCTTCATTTGAAAAAGACAGAATTAAGTAAAAAAAGTATCTTTTAAGGAAGAATGTGTTAAACAATAGCATAGTCAAAAAAATGACATATTGTTTGCTTTGCTTAAAGTGATTACAATATACTAGTAAATTATTTATGTGGTATTCATTATTTTAATTTTATAAAGGTTTTATTTTTTATATAAATATTTGTTTAGTTAATATCAAAAGCAGCTTTTGAATTTATGTCATTTTTTTAACAGTTTATAACAGTCAAGTGATTGAAATTAGTGGCTTAACCTATTACAATTACAAACATGCTATATTTTAAATCTGTATCAGATTTAAAATATATTCAGACAACATGCATAATACATGTGCATAAAAATTCAGATTCAGGTATGCAAAATCTAATAAATATGAATGCTGAATAATCTAGCTATTTATGCACAAAGTACTCATAACTATGGTATAATAGTAGTTTAATACTAGTAAAGATACTTAACATTATTTGTCATATGACTTAAGTAGTTAAATTTTAAGCACTAAGGGTGTTTAAAATCAACTGATTAAATAGCATATAGCAAATAACTCAGATATTCGAAGTGAAGTATTTATGTAACTCTATTGTATCACTTAATTTTTAATAATCAACTATATGAAAAGTTAAAAAGTCAATTTTAGCTAAAAATTAGTAAACAATTATGTAATATGCAGATCCACAGCTATTAGCAATCAAAATTGAGGACTTGCTGTAGTGCACATCCTTATTTTTCACTGTAATACAAACTTAATTTGAAATTGTATAACATATAGTATTGTAAATTTTTTATATAGTATTTCAAAGTTTTATATTAAAAAAAATTGAAAATATAAAAATATATCATAATATTATTTTAATCATTTATATAATAAAATTTATTTAGAATTTAAAATATATGATTTTAGGATATACAGTTATCTCTCTTTAAACCAAACAAGCCATTCTAGCAAATTTTGTTTGGTATAGAGTGAATCCAGAATACACATTTCTCTTTTTATATTGAATGTTCGTTATATAATATTAGCCAATTATATGCTAGATACATGACATATTTTCAATATATGTTTTACACCTTATAATCTTTGTTGAAGCTTTTTTCTTTCATCTTCAAGCTGATTTCATTAATATTTAAAGTTAGCATTCTTGCAGAGCACTAACTTTTTTACTTTGATCTAGCTTTATTTAAAACTGTCACTTCTAATGCTTTTCTTTTTAAGCCAAGATTATTAAGAGGTATATAGTTTTTATAAAATGTTATTGTATTTCTTTTATATTTATTATTAAAAAAAATAATCTAACTTTAATTTATATGTTATGTTAGCATATTTGAATATTAATTTAATAAAATTTTATAGTTCCTTTAAACAACTACTTGTAAAAAAAAATAATAGTATAATTTATAGTTTATATTTTATAATTCTTTTATTACTAATGTTTGTCAAGCTTTACTATATTCATATCTGTTTTTTAGAGATTACAAGAAACTTTTAGTAGGTTTGTACATATAAGTGTTACAAAATTTTGAAATTTGCCTATAGTATACTTACATAATTTATTCAATTTATTCAGATATAAAATAATAATGATCTAATTGCTTAAGATTTTTTATACAGAATAATCTAACTTTTCTATATAATTTTTTTAAAATTTTTGTCTCTTCTTCAACTTTGCCAACTCTTTTCCTTGTTCATATAAGAATCTCAAAACTGTATCAACTGCTATCTCTACTTCAGTATAATTCACCTTCTTTTTTATTTCACTAATAAGTTGCTCAACTTCATCCTCAGTATTATCAGCTATCACTTTCAATATATCATCATCTGTAAGACTTCCACAACAACTGTATCTTCAATACAAATGTATTCAGAGGCACTTAAATAATCATTTTCAGGTAACTGATTAATCAAAATTTCAAGTTCATCTTCATCTCTAAAAAATTCTTCATTGTATTCATAATTGATTTTTTGCATTTTTGCTTCTTGAATTGAAAGAATACCAGTTTTTTTCTAACAATTAATGATTGTTTCAAATGATACCATTGACCATGCCTCTGTGGCATTAATTAGTGTATGATAGATATTATATTCTGAAAGCTTTTTTACTATATCATCTTATAAATCATCATATGCATTTATTCAATTTTAAACAAAAAGCTGCTTATACTTGCATTTGATGAATTAATAATTCTGGCATTACATAGTTGAAGAAATACTATAGTATTTTTAAGCAAAAATTCAACTCTTATATTACTAAGTTTCTTCTGCGTTTCATCAAAAACAATATGTACTATGGCATTGTTGACCAATAAGATAATGTTTCAATTTTGTCTTTTCATTTTGGTGTTTAGTTTAAAAAGAATATTGTTAAAAATACTAACCTGCATTTATGCTTTTTTATTCCAGAAATAATAAATAGGAAGATTATTATAATTCAAGTTTTTCATTGTACATGGTGTTTTATATTAATAAATAAAAATAAGTTTCATTTTTTCAGTTTCAGCATCATTTACAGCACAAAAAATTGTAACTTTAGCTTTTTCTTTTTTATGACCAGCAATTGGTAAACATGCTAATACTCATGAAGGTTCCATTTTCTAAAAAAGACTAGTCTTATCTCTATTCCAAATATCTTCAAGTTTATAGGTACAAAGAAGTTCTTGTAATTTGATATGATCATTAGCCAGTAATTCTTCAGAGGAGGCATTAGCAGTTTCTCTATTTTTTTAAATGAACAAAAACTATTGAAACCACTTAACCAACCTTCAGATTGTTTAAAGTTATCAATATTTAACTTTTCTACAAAAAATACTGCCTTCACTTTAAGAATATTATCATCAATATTCTGGTTACTTGCAAGTGCATTATCAACCTATAGACCAAGTGCATCTTCTAATTTTGGCTATTTTGGTCTGCAAAACTTTTTTTTTTTAGTTCAATACCTGAAATAGAAAGCCATCATGTTTTTTCTTTTAAGATATCAGATACAGTTGATCTACCAATCTGATAAATTTTTGTTAGTTCATTATAGGTAAGGTGTGAGTTTTGTTTTTTCTGTTCACAAAGGCTATGCTTTTGTATAGCAGTAAGACTAACATGTTGATAAGTTGACATAATGCACAATATTAAAGCAATAATGTATAAACTTTTATTTTTTAGATATACGATCTAGGTAAATATAAAGAAAAATAATAATTTATGATTTTTAAAAAATTTAAAATTACAGAGAGCTTTGTTCTTTTTATTATTAAAAGGTGTGAAAGATTATTTTCCTTTATTAAAAAGATATTATTTTTAAAAAATCTAACAATTCAAAAAAAAATATTATATAAAATTACTTTGGATGATTTTAACTTAGATATTCCTAATATAGAGTAATAATATATTTTGGTGAAGTTCTTTTTGTTCTTATGTGTTTGCATAAAATAAAGAATGTTTATTTTATTCTTTTTCAACTACCAAATGCATTCTAATTAAGTATTAATATGCATCTTTTTTAATTTTATCAAGCATGTATCTTTTAGCAACTTGCTGTTTTTATATAGCTATTGTTTTTTGCAAAGTTCTTTGTGGCATGTCTACCTGTGAGTTACATCTAATTAATGACAAATTGAATGATAAGTAACTTGTTCTTTTTTAAAAAAAAAATTTTTAAATCAATCCATGCACTAACTTCTTTTTTAATAATATAGTGCTGCATATAGTACTTTTAGTTTATACAATATTTTTGGAATTATTATATGAAAGATAGATCCTATATAGGGTATACTGAAAAGAGTACCATATTAATCATGTAAATTAATCATATGTATAATGGGTTCATTGATTTGAACTACTTTATTTAGTATTGGGATATTTTTTAGAAATGTTAAAATTTCTAAATGAAAAGTTTTCTAATATTATATAAAGTGAATAATTTTCAAGATGTACTATATGGTAGCAAGACATTAAACCTAATCTATTTGTTATAACTATTGTATTATTCTGAATAGGATTAATAAAGTTTTGTTAACTCACTTTTATTCGCATATATAGCCCTTAAAAATGAGAATTTTCTTATTAAAGGTATGTTTAACCAAGATTATAGCATTAAAATAAGATAGTAAATAGGAAAAAAAAACATATGTATATGCAAGATTTCAAATAAACCTAATTGTTTAATTTATACAAAAATTTTAAGAAATATGCATGTAGTCTATATATAATTATATTTTACACAAATCTATGCATACTTGTATATATATATATATATATTTACATGTTTTTTAGAAAAAAATAGATTGATAGATATGCTGGTTAACTAACAAACAGTAATTATTGAAAAGCTTTAAGGCTTCTTGTAAATTTTAATTAAAATATTGAATTGATTGTAAAGAATCCATACTACAGTATTAAGTTATATTATCAAATAATTTCCTGTCAAATAACAGATAAGTATGCTATTTTACTATTTTATGATTTAAGCATATTATTATATGATTTAATTAGAATAAAATTTAATGTGAAATGTGTCAAAAATAAATAAATAAATAAGATTTTTTGTATTACAATATTGTGAAAAAAGAAAAATCTTTTTCTAATCTCTAAAAGAAATATTATATATATTTTGCATTCACACTAAATAAATGTCAGTATATAAAAAAATTTTATTTATAAATTAGATCAAATGTACTGCCTATATTGTGTTCAAATCCAGTTTATCAGATTTTATTATGATTGTTTGGTATAATCAGTGTAATTATTTATAAATTAAATGTTCTTACCTTTTTTGTTTAAAATAACTAGGGTTCGATATATATAGGTTCAGTTTAGCAAGAGTTGACTGTATATATTTTTTTTTCTTTTTTTTTTATAATATAGTATATAATTCAGTAATTTGAACTTTAATACTTTTTTAATATAATAACTGATTAAAAACTTTAATTTTAGTGAATATAAAACAAATTTAATTTAATATTTAATAGTAACATTATTTATTATACAAATCGTAATAATTAGAAATTCTTATTATTATAATTTTTACTTATATTTGCATTGTTGAATACAATTTTTTCTTTTTTAGTATATTAGCAGAATAAGTATAGTATATAAAATGATATTGTTTAATATGATATTATCTTCTTTGTTTTTTAATGTTCATATGTGAAGAAAGTTGTATTTTTTTACTTTCTTCAATCCAATTACCAGCACAAAATTTATCTATACTTTGAACCTCTTAAAGAACTTGTGATAGCTGGTTTCAAACAATTTGTAATTATAAGTATCAAGATTAATTAAACTTTTAGTTATTTGTTGAATTTCATTAAGAAGTTGTTGCTGTTTGTATTATGAATTAAATTGCAATTACAATTGAGATTTTGATAGTAATTGTTAAGATTGTAAATGTGATTATAGCTGTGATTATTGTATAAAAGCTTGATTGTTTAAAAAATAATAAAATATAATAGCATAAATATGCTTACAAGAAAGTAATCAACTTTGAAAATAATTACAAGTACAAATAAATTGTCTTTCAAATTGATCTTGAAATCCTGTATTTATTTCAACTGAATAATTTGTTCCTAAATTTGTATCAGATAAAACTATCCAATATTGACCAACTAAATATTTCAGTTATATTTTGAATTAAATTTTGTGCTTGTTGTTTATGTTTTTGAATTTCTTGTTCTGCTGGCATCATTCTATCTGCATGAATTTCAGCTAATCTTCATTGTTGTCAAGCATCACTATTTCCATTAATATATAATTTATTAATAAGAACATCTCTATATCAGTTAGATTTTTCATCAAAAATATCATATTTAAGCTTCCAATTTCATAATTCTAACATATTTGTAGTATTAAGATTATTATAAGGAACATCTAGTTAATATGCCTTAATCCATATTGTTTTGTCAATTTCATAATTATTATTTGATTTATTTAACTATTGTTTTTTAAAATATAAAATAAATGATATCGAACTTGATCATTTGTTTAAAAAATTATTAATAGTTCATCAACATTCCTATGATTATTGATATACATTAATTCTCTTAAATCATTTCATAATTCTTCTTTTATTTTTTTTTTATTTCAGTACTTAATTTATTATTTAATACTGTATTTGCTTTTTTAATATAGACTTTTTTTAAGTTATCTTGCCAGGCTCTAAGAACATGCCACCAGCACAAAAAAATTCTACTTTTTGAAAAAATATTTCAAAGAGCTTTGATCTGCACAGGATCACAGTCAATTAAAAAAGATACTGGACCCTTTTATAACAATTAAATACAAAGACAATATAACCAAAATTGTACAGATATAGTATTTTTATAAGAAGAAATAAGATGTGCAATAGGTAATCCTTTTTTAGTTTTAAAATCAGATAAAAGAAGAGTATAAAGTTAATCATTTTTTTTATTAGTGTCATATGTTGCATTAAGTAAAACTATATTAACTTTATAGATTATTTCTTTTGTAATTGGAATTATAAAACCTAAAAGTTGTTCTTTATCTTTATTGTTATTACTTTCTGATTGAGTTATAGCACAAGTTAAATTACCATTGTTTAAAAGCTTATGATACTATAAATTATGACTTTCTTCTTCAATTTCATGCAAAATTTGATCTTCTTTAATTACTTTTTTCTATATATTATATATATCATCACTAGTAATAAGATGATTACAAATTTGAATTGCTTTTAGATTGTTACATTTCCAAATTTTATTTAAATTATATACTCATTTTCTAAAAAATCAATTAATTGCTTTAACATCTAAACTATCATGTATTCATTATGCAATGTAATTTTGAATTTGTTTTGAAAGTCTAAATGTTCCAATATCATTGTCACTACCTGAAGTATGATTCAAATAAGGTGTATATTTAATAATCATTTGAGACTTATCTTGTTTGGTTTTAGTAATTATAATCATAGATTCACAGCTAATTTTTTTGAATCTTTTTGAATAATTCTTGCTTTTTTTATAGGATTTTGACCTGCTTGGCTTTTATATTTTTCTGAGCAATGACACTTGTAAGTGTATCAAAATTCAACATTTCTAGCATTATATTTAGTTCTTTCTCATACATAACTTGTATGAGTATTATAACCAAAATTATAACCATTTTTCAAAATCAGTATTTAATGAAACAACATATTCTGTATCCAAAGCAATTTTACTATGCTGAACACCTTCACATATAAATAAAGTAGCATTAGGTAGAAGAAGATCATCAGGAATTAAATTATCTTGAAGAGTTTTCATGAAATGATCAAACACATTAAAAAAGTCATCTACACACATTTCTTTATCACTTATAAGTTCTTTTGCCATCTTTATTATATGTATTAAATAATGAATTTATATAAAATAAAAATTCACTTTGAGTTAAATTTCTTTAAAATTTTACTATACATATATCTTTTTTTTATTAACTAATATAAGTAATAATTAGTAATACAGAGTGATGTTAAATCATATGATTAAGAAGTAAGGTGACATACATCAAGCTATACAACTGACAGACTCTTTTATGTAGCAATTGATTAAAGGTTAAGAAGCATATGCAAACAATATAGCAACACATGTTAGCAATGTACAGAGTAATGTAAGTATTAAACAGCTAAGTAACAGAAACAGCATGTATTAGCATATATATAGATAAAATCCTAGAACAAAAAAATAAACTTTTCACTGCAAAACTCAGAATAAACAATTTGCAAAAAAAAACCCTTCCAATAATAAACTACACTAGATAATAAGAATAACAACAATAAAATAAAATGTCTGATGAACAAAGAGGAATATCAAGAATAGACCTTCAAATAAAGGCATATATAGACAACATATGCCAAACAATCATATTATTACTTACTGAGAAGGTGAAGAAATTAATAAACCAGCAGGCTGAAATACGGAAACAATAAAATAAACAAATACAAAAGACAATCAAAAAGCATTTTAAAAAGCTTGAACAGCTTGAACTAGTCAATAATGATCCAAGTTTTAATAACCAAGACACCAATGAAGAACAGAACAATTATATGACACCAGCAACTATAGAATTACTAACCAAAATAAGAGATGACATACTGCAAGGTAATTATATATTAACATTAATCCTAAATAATGCAATATTAAACTCAGCATTAGTGGGAGCAACATTATATATAAATGTATATAATAAAGCTCAGAAGTACCCATCAATAAGTCATATTATGCTAAAGCAACTACTAGTAGTAGAAGGTTTTTCAAATCTATTAGTAACCAATATCAAAAAGAAAAGACTATGGTGGATATCTAACTGATCAGAAGGACAAAAAGTTATTGAGACATTATCTCGAAAACCTAACCTAACAACATGTATATAAAAATTAATTGCATTCGGTGCATATATTAATTTTCAAGAAATCGCTTACAAAAATATAAAAGCTAATGCAAAATACAACAATAATGAAATGCTACTACAAACTTCTGATAAAGGCATTATTACTATTCGAAAGCAAACAATATACAATAAGTTTAATGATATGTCTGAATGGCTTTTGGCATTTCAATTATATATAGAGGCTGTGTTAATAATTTATAATAAATAGGACAAGAATTTAATTTCTACCAAGATCATATCAATAGCCTGTATATTAAATATGAATTTGCTACAGTAATGGCATATGATAAAGATTGAAGACTAGCATTAGTAATAGATTAAGATGCAATATTATATGAAAGAAATTTAGAAGCTAAAAGAGAAAATTTTGACATAACAACTACTAAGAAAACAAAAATCTATAACTTACATTCACCAAGAATTAATACAACATGGTATGTTGGCAAAGATATTTGCATAAACTAGAATCAAAGAAACTGCAATGATGATAAAAAATGTGGCAGAATTCATGCCTGCTTAATTTGTAAAAAAACTCGGTTATCAAGAATGAAGATGTTTTATATATAACACAGGTAGCAACCAAAGAACAAAAAACAATAATTATATTGAAACTCAAGCTAATAATAACAATTAAAAAAAAAATAAAAAAATAAAAAATAAATAAATAAATAAATAAATTTTAGAAAGCTTAGTCAATCTACACAGTATATATAGATAATATCACAAATATTTTATATAAATAAAATAACATTATATATATGTTAGTTGTCAATAATAGGCATGACAAGAATTTTTATCATGTAACCCAATACAATTCTCATAAAACATAACTGCATGTGAACAACTACAACTCCAATCATTAAATGAGACTTTGTTTAGTATACCTTCATGAAAAATTCCTTTTATAGCAGATAAAGTTTATATATTAGCTCAATTAGATTCAAGAATGTTTAATATGAAGACTACAATTAATGTTCAAACATTTAGAACTTTAACAAATCAATACCCAAACCAGCCTTTTATTGAATACTTAATTAAGAAACTAATAAAAAGTTTTATATTTAACTATATAGATACACGGGTAAAAAGAATCCAAAAAAATCTAAAATCAATTAAATTAGATAAGTTATCTTTTATAAAATATATTCAAAGCGAACTAGGAAAAAATTGCATTTGTGGCCTATTTTCAGAAAAATTACTACTATATGATCTCTTTCAGATAAACCTTTGCAGATTAGTCAAAAAGAAAGATACAAAACCAAAAATATTTTAAATTATATCACACTTATTAGCCTCATTTGGCTCTAGTATCAATGATGGAATTGACCAAATAGAATTCACAACAAAATATGAAAACATAGGTCATGCAATAAGATGGATTAACATGTATAGAAAGAGATACATATTATCCAAAATTGATATTAAGGATGCATATCACATATTGTCTGTACATCCTGTAGACCAGGTTCTTCAAGAAATGAAAATTAGTGATAATATATATTTTAACAAAGCACTAACATTCAGAAACAGAGTCTCAGGTGATATTTTTTATAGGTTTGCTGATGTGATTACATGGATAGCCACAAAGCAAGATATTAAATCAATAATTCATTATGTTGATAACTTTCTAATAATATCCAAAGCTAGTGATCATCAAGAACTTCAACAATTTTTGCATATACTAAACATAATGAGAATACCATTCAAAGAGTCTAAATTGGAAGGCCCTAGTACACATATAATATTTCTAGGTATTTTGATAGATACAGAAACAATGTCTGTATCAATTTTACTACAAAAAAGACAAAAAATACAAAATCTTATTGCCAATTGGGTCAATAAAACATGGTATTATAAAAAAGACTTTCAATCAATTGTTGATTCTCTAATGTAGATGTGTCAAGTACTTCCTCAAGGAAGACCATTCATCTAATGATTTATAAAAGTACAGGAAACAGTCAATAGCTTGAAACATTATATAAGAATAATCAGTCTAATGATTGCAAACATCCAGTAGTAGAGTAGCATTATAGTAAGATGGCCTGGTACATACTTGATGGAAGACCAAGCATGACACCAACCAAATATATATAACTTATATACAGATGTGTCAAACATTGGAGGTAGTGCAACTTTCCAAAACTATTTTATAGCATTTAGATGATCCAATTGTGAAGTTAGTACAACTTATAACATCCAGAAGTGAGAATTACTAACAACCTTTATAACAATTCACACATTCTCTCCACTATAGTTTAGAAAAAAACCAATTATATGAACAGATAATATGGCTAATGCAGAGACATACTATTCTGGATTTTGTAAAAACTTAGTAGTCAACAAAATTATTGCGCAGATATATGAAGCTCAAATTCAAATGAATTTTTTAACATATATTAGGCAAACAGAACACAGATGCAGATGTACTATCAAGAGGTGGATACAAAAAATATTTGATCAGGAACCCTGTAGCACAGTATCTTCAACCTGATATTCCACCTGAATACACTAATATAGTCTTCTTTACCTCATCATTAATGCAATAGATCAGAAAACATAGAAGCAGAAGAAACATATGAGCAAAACAAAGAACAATGATGACATAAATAATAAACAGTACCAAAACATAATAGGCTTCAATGACAAGATACCAATAGATCAACAGGTAGTAAACATCCTAGACCTAGATATAACATCTACGAAGCAATTATCAGAAGATACCAAATGTTAGCTAAGAAATACCAGTGGAAAAATAAGGATAACAGCATATGACCCATATCCAAAGACCTCATGGTTAAGTATATTAAAGCACTAAGTAACAAAGTATCCCCTCCAACAATAAACTCTTACCTGTCAGCACTTAGGTTCTACTATACAAGAAACTCATATGACTGGGACACATCTGGAATGACCTACTAGTAAAAGAATTACTCAAGACAATTGATGCAAATCACATGCATAAACCAGTAAAACAGAAAGTACACATCACAAGAACCCACCTGGATCAAATAAGGTGCAGCCTTAGGCTTGAGAACTCTGATGACCTGCTATTTTGGACTGTGGCACTAACAGCATTTTATGGTCTGGCACGTCTAGGCGAGCTCTTACCAAACAATAAATCTGATAAAGATAAAGTTCCATACTTGAAAGCATTAAGATTTGAGAATGTCAATGTTATAACATTCATCACAACCCAGTTAGCAAGAACAAAGAATCACAAATCAGCAAATAGGATGTCACTAGTTATAAACCCTACCAAGGATAGGCTATGTCCCATTAAATCCCTCAAAGCATACATTATCCATTGCACAAATCCATCTTACGCTCCAGGGAATAATAGTTTATTTATAAGAACCAATGTCTATGGGCCACCAAACGTTGGTTCTGTAACAAACTCTTTAGGGCTGGTGGAATGACAGAGCTAGTGATGCGAGGCGTGCAACCAGTAATGATTCAGAAAATTGGATGGTGGAACTCAGAAACATTTTACAGATACATCCGGGCACACCCCTCCATGGTCGCTCTCATACTAACGAAAGCATATAACATACGACCTCACTAAACAATATCGTTGGAATAAGCTCGGTCACGTCATATGCTGTGCACATATAT